TAGTTTTAAGAAATATAATGACATGAATAAACATATACAAGTTAATAAAAATTCATGATTGGTAAGTTTTTAATATGAATACTTTACAAACATATATTTAAATTAAGTTAGGTTCCCCGGTTAAAACTAACTTCGTGTCCTTGAGGAAAATAGCTACTTACGATTTGACAGCGCTTACCGCTTACGATCGCCATTTTGCTTACAAGCGCTTGCTAGCGCCTTTTTCTGCCAAACGCAGCCATTATTTTTTTTTTTAAAGGATAGGGTGACAAACGAGCACACAGTCCACCTGATGGTAAGTGGTTGCTGTGGCCCATAGACATCTACATCTATCCTCGATTACGAATCAAAATGCAGATGCGTTGTCACCCGTGAGGACTAAGATGGAATGCCTCGTTTCCAGTAAAAAGGGTCTCCGGTTCTCTACACTCACCATACCTAATACAGCAGCATTAAGCTACTACTTTACGCTGGTATTCTGTGAGAGCGTGGTCCTCCCCGGTCGAGCCGACCCATTCGTGCTACAACTATACTACTAATATAACAGCAGCATGGCTCTACCACGTAACAACGTATGACAAACTTTTTTTAAACTACCCTCCTTTTTTAGTCTTCCGTAAGTGGATAAAAAGTTGCCCATATATTATACGCCATCATTTACTGCGTAGCCACCAAATTTCATGGAAATCTGTCGTGTAGTTTTCACGTGAATCGTGAACAATTAATTTTTCTACAGATTTATTATATGTATAGCATTGAGTTATACAAAATAAATCAATGATGTATAGATATAGGTTATTCTGCCTATAGACAGACCTGTAAATAATTAGAATAGACGTTATTTTAGCCACAAATTATAAAGTTGTATGTACAAGACAGATAGGACAGTACGTCGCCGTAGCGAGTTTGGAGGGCAAGCTTTTTCCCGCTAGATGGCTACCTTGTTAGTGTTGGGGTGTATAGATTATCCATGATATCGATAGATTTTGCAGCGATAGGGATGTGAATTGAGTTTATCGATTTCTTTTATTTTCATTATTCTTTATTAGTTATATTAATAAGGGAAAGGAATTAAAAAAAAAACATATTTGCAAGTTTCATTTTTTATATTTTCTTTGTTTTAACCATTTTATATGTGATATTTTTTGAATATATGGTGCATCGTTAAAATTAATTACACAATGCGATCCATTCAATATTCTGTTTATTGTTCGGCACCAGTGAAATACTTGGATTTTAGCCCCAAGAAGTAAAATTTTTTTTTTTGATTTTGTCATGGTGCTCTTGGCAGCCTATCCATTCCAAATTATTTTGAGTAATAAATTTTTCGGATATATTTTTAATAATATTTCCTTTGTGGCAAGTATTATTTAATACCACATTACTTAAATCAACTAATTTTGAAAATGCTACAATAAATCTTGTACTAGGGTTGTATTTTTCGGATATATTTTTAATAATATTTCCTTTGTGGCAAGTATTATTTAATACCACATTACTTAAATCAACTAATTTTGAAAATGCTACAATAAATCTTGTACTAGGGTACATAAGATTTTTCCCTTTAAGGTGCTTTCGTTCTCTGTGTCTAATTAAATCATGAACACTAAGCTGCTGATCCTCATTACTTAAAAATGTTTTTTTGCAATTTTTACATTTATTTTGACACAGTTTTCTTATAATATATCCTGAAGTGTAACTCCTCGCATTTACATTTATTTTTTCTTCAAATATGGAGGAGACCATATTTCCTGATAAATTTACTTCAGATGAACAACTAAGGTTTCTATTATCATTACTATCGGGAACTGGTTGTTCATCTGAAGCAAATTCCTCATTCAATAAAGTTGTTATGTTTAATATGGTCTCCCCCATATCATCTTCACAATTAAAAATTTTTGTGTGGATGGCCAGCATGTCCGTCATTAATAATGACTTAAAAGAGTTTCGGAACGAAAATGTATCGGGGTTGGTATATCTATAATTATATGCTCTTATTTTGCCAAAGAAATTTTCAAGGGGGTCTTGATTTAGGTTTCTCGTGTAAAAGAAACTGACCCCCTCCGATTGCATTATTTCACTTACTCTTATTAGGCTTTCTAGTGTTCTAACCCAATTGTTTAATGTTGGTACATTTTTTATTGTAGCTTTTTCTAAAGAATTTTTTGGAATGAAATGCATTTTTTTAAACTTCTTAATGGCTTCAATCCAAAATGCTTTGTGGGCACTATTCAGTTTGACTGGACCTCTTATTTTTCCTGGAGCCCTGCCAGACCTCGAACCATTGCAACTGTCGAACAATTGGTCAAAGAAAGCAACTGCTGCAGCTGTATTTTTTGTTGTTTCACTGATTTGTGTTCCGTCATGTCGCTGAGCTGGAACAAAAAACATGAAATTAGAATTACTTTTACATGATGTATTGTTACTTACATGTAACAGGCATTCTTTACTCATGTTTATTACAAAATAATTTTTTATGAAATTAATAATAATTAAACAAGAAAAATCAATTTACATTTTATTTAAATCTTTCCAACTCCAAATGAACATTAAACCCCAAAGTTCATCTTTAGAGACAGTTGAGTTATTTAAATTGCCACAAACACACATTCATAGACTGCAAATCTCACAGAGAAGAAGTAAAAACTAAACTATCAAAAGTTATATGATAAACAATATGATGGGCATTGATGGGATCATACTGTAGCCCAAACAGCTTGATGGATTTTAACATTTGGGTATCATCAGATTTGTCTTAGTTGTGGATGTGACATAGGAAATTAAAAAAGGACATAAAGTTAGCCTTACGCATACACAATCACAAACCCAATATTCCATTAATCGCTTTTTACATGGTAGCCCATAATGTTATACATTGACCAAAGTATAAGAAACTCACAATTTCAAGGATTGTCTACAAAAAATATATCAGCATCAAGCATAAAAATAATAAAATAATTTGTAAATACCTACTAATATAATAAGGCCTGCTGGACACTTATTATCTTTATGAATTACAACTTATCTATCCACTTACTATCAGATGAGCTGTGCACTTGTTTGTCAATAATTAAAAACATATTCATAGATTAAATAATCATCCAGCAAATGGACATCAATTAAGATCATTTATTAATTTATCGTAGCAGAGTACATTTCATCAAAAGACAACTTTAAGATCCATAATAAAGACAACTTTAAGATCCGTAATTTCTTGGTACAAATAAACACACAGAAAAGCAAAACTATTTAATAAAAAAACTGAAACCTTTCTCCTTCAAAAATGTTTCTATTCTGTGGGTGAATATTAAGTTTGTTGACATTATGATTGTATTAAATTAAAATTTTACATTAGTTGACATTTGTTTTATGGAATGATAGAAAATATTAATTTAAATTTAGTTATATTTATTAATATATTTTAATCTAGTAATATTTGAGAATCCCAATGACATTATTTTATTAAGTTAAGTAGAACTTTACTCTGTGACATTTTAATTTTTTTTTTATTTAACTATATTATATTTAAATAGTTGTACAAAGAATTTGTTTTCTACTTATATCTTGTCTAATACAATTCCCTTAAGTTTAGAATGCCTGATAAAGTCCATTTAGTTGTAAGTACATAATATAACTATCCTAAAACCTTTACACCAATAGCAAATAAAGTATTTGATTTGTTTAAAGGATGAAATTCTTGATGCAACTCTAGCATATAGAAAACTAGAAAACCACCTTTTTACCTTTTATACGTGGTAGAGCCATGCTGCAGCTATATTTCTGGTATAGTTGTAACACGAATGGGTCGGCTCGACTGGGGAAGGACACAGAATACCAGCGTAAAATAGCAGCTTAATGCTGCTGTGTTTCGTATGGTGAGTGTAGAGAACCGGAGACCCTTCTTACTGGAAACGAGGCATTCCATCTTAGTCCTCACGGGTGACAACGCGTCTGCATTTTGATTTGTAATCGAGGATAGATGTAGATGTCTATGGGCCGCAGCAACCGCTTACCATCAGGTGGACTGTGTGTGATGAACTCGCCAAAAACACTTTAATAGACTACCATAGTTAAAATATGAATAGTTATCCTTATTGAAAAAATAGGCAGTAGTTAACTTACAAAAAGTTGCTGTAAACTGCATTGTGGCAGCTACGCGTTCACTGAAGACTTGAGTGCAGTTCTTAACTTTCATCTTCTTTATTTTTTCTGGTATAACATGCTCATCTGACAATTTTGGGAGCATTCTTATATTTCCTAATTTACAGTCATAGTTGTAAACATCTACAATGTCTTCCCATTTTGTTAATTTTCCCTCAAAAATTAAATTCTTATTCAACATGTTGTTGCGTAGGCCTTTTATTAAGTGTGGAGGATCATAGATCACACTTAAGTTACTTCCCCCAATTAGGATACTACCATCTATAAAAAAATATTTCATTACAATGATGGGATATTATTTTTACAAGGTTTATAATTTTAGAGAGAGAAAAATAGGTGAAGTGCTCAACTCGAAGACTTTATAGGAGTTGTGCATTTTAGCTTCCACTCATTAAAATGTTTTCAGAACCTTTGGTCTCAAAACCAAAACCTTCAGTGCTCAAAAGTTTAATTTAACCCATTTTAAAGTAGGAATCGACATAATACTATGTATATTATTATATGTGGTAGAGCCATGCTGCAGTTATATTAGTAGTATAGTTGTAGCACGAATGGGTTGGCTCGACCGGGGAAGGACCACGCTCTCACAAAATACCAGCGTAAAATAGCAGCTTAACACTGCTGTGTTTCGTATGGTGAGTGTAGAGAACCGGAGACCCTTTTTACTGGAAAAGAGGCATTCCATCTTAGTCCTCACGGGTGACAACGCATCTGCATTTTGATTCACAAATAAGGATAAATGTAGATGTCTATGGGCCACAGTAGCCACTTACCTTCAGGTGGACTGTGTGCTCGTTTGTCACCCTATCCTATAAAAAAAAAATTATATGTATTTAATATTATTTTTTAAGCTTACCAAATTTTATATTATTTTGAAAACAGTGTCTCTTAGTCTCTTCTTGAAGATCTTTAAGAGCACGCTGTGATGTAGCTCCCTGGTCACAAATGAAGGCTAAAGGCTTTAATCCAGATTCGATTACTATCTTAACCATATCCTTTAAGATATGTTTCAAAGTAGCTGCTGGTGTAGTTCCTTGGCAAAAATAGTAAGCGACTGGTTGTCGCCATGATGCACAAATACCTCTGAGCATCACTACCAAAGCATGGTCAGCAAATTTTGGGGGCCCATCTGCTTTTACAAACCCCTCAATTTCATCATTGCTTGCAACAAAATTCAAATGTGCAGATAACTGAACTTCATCAAAAACAATGCTGCACAGTTTTTTTGCATTACTCAATGTTTTGATTTTTTGTTTTAAAATTGCAAAAAAGTTTTCATTTATACCTTCTCCAAATTTAATATTTTGTAAAACTCTATTCAGAGTTCTTTTGGTTGGTAAAGAGAATAATTTTTGTAGAAGGGCTCTGTCTGTCTGTCCTTAGGGCTCTGTTTATACAGCGCAATGCTCATTAATTTTTCATCAATATTATACCTTCTTCCTTTTGAAGCTTTACCAGCAAACCTCAGCTGCAATGCTATAAACTGTTTTGGGAAGAAATCTAACTTTTCTATTAATTTTCTAAAACTTTTGGTATTGCTAAGAATTTCTGCATGAGCAATGTTTTGTTTGTTATCTTCATTACTTGTAAACAATCTCTTTCTTTTAATCATATCTTTACACTTAAAGTACAACCTTCGACATCTTGGAGTTAAGTTGTTAATATTGGTTACAAGTCGAGGTCTACTTTTTACAAGCTTAATACATTTGTTTTTATCACCTGGAAAAAAATATGTATGAGTGATATTGTAATCAGTATTACAAATAGTTCATATAAAATAAATATTTTTATTTAACTGTTGGCATTGTTCTAACTTTTGACTATAAAAAAGTACACATGTATGTAAAAAACATTAACACTAGGAAACTACATGTTAAATTACAATTAATATGACTCTTATTTTACAATCTGGTATAAAGAAAGATCACTATGATGCTCAGGTATTTTGTGATCATAGTGGAAAATAAAGTATGAAATTATGTATAAACATTTAACATTACATTAATTTAAAATAAACTTACTGTGTTGAATTGTCGATGGCTTTGGTGAAATGGGGACATCATAACTTTGCTGAGAAGTTGATGGTTTTGGCGACATGGAGATGTAATAACTTTGCTGGGAAGTTGATGGCTTTGACAACATGGTGATGTCATCTGACACAGAAGTCTCTCCAGTATTTTCTCTTTTACTATTTTGTGAATCATCTAAATTAACTGCAATTAAAATAATTACTTTATAACTTTATTTTTATTTTTAATTGTATACCAAAATACAGGAAAATGAGTAGAGTTCAATCTAAAGTATAATATGAACAACAAGCGTTCTTGTCACTCTGAAAGTGATCTCTCCCAGACGACCTTTGCATAGAGGACTGATGCAAAAAATAGTTAAAATCTTTAAACTTTTTAAATTTTTTAAGAAAAAAAAAATCAAGGGGAGTGTACAAAAATGGATGAAAATATATATAAAACCAAGTGATATACACACCACCTTATTGTTGTACTACAGCCGCTGTATTAATCCAGGTGGAAAAAACATCTTGCACCTGAATGTGCTATGTGTGTTCCTAATATTAATATTATACTTATTAAATATAGCAATTTATAATAAAAATAATATATCATCATTAGAACTCTCTATAGCTCATTAAGTGACCTTGAGCTAATGTGCCCAGCGATGAAGGACCACATCTCAGATCCATATGTTATCAATGGCATTATGCACTGGATGTATAATCTTGTTTTCAAGTTTTGAGGTATATATGACAAGATGTGTCATAATCTTCACACGCTGCCCAGCTGAGTTCGATCCGTTGATTGATGTCTAGGTTAAAGTTGGACTTACTTAATCGGACAATTTGTTCAAGGTAAACATATGTGTGATGTGTACATAATATATATCAAGCTAATATTAAAAAAATATTTACCCAGCATGTATTCTTTACTATATTTTGGCTTTTTAATTATTTCAGGAGCTGCTTCTTCCATACCTTGCCTTCTTTTCAGTAAGTATGGTCATAATAGTCAGTGATGGATTGACCTGAAATAAATATCACTTTAGCTATTTTGTAATATATGATAGCTTTTAAAACAGTGATTATAAAACCAAAAAAAAATTTTGCATAAGAACATGCAATATATTTAGTATCATATTTTCTTCAAACTCTACTCTCATGGTTAATATTGCATTGATAAATAATTTAAACCACTGCCTCGGGTATAATTCAGTCTTTATCAGATATATTTCTAAATTTGGCTCTAAATGGGAAAGATATTTTCGTACTTACTGGGTACTCCACAAGCTATTTCTTCTTCAGTCAGTAGAGTAGGATAACCATGGTATTTCCTCGTGAAGCCGTCAAGATATTGATGTTCGAAATGCCTGATACAAATCTTCTTTTTGGCTAATTGTTTCGATGACAGTTGAAGAAGTTCAGGGCTATGAGGAGCGACATAAGAAAGCCAAAGGCTTTGCATGTTTTTGTCTCGAGGAAAGTAAAACATTACTATATCCTTGGCAAGACAAGAGTTGACACAACACACGGTAATAGGCATTATTTAACCCTACGGCACTAGTAGATAATAACACCAAAAAATATGAGTTCTATCTCTAAAATGAGTCATGTCTCTTATAAGTCACTGAATCAACAGCACCACAAAGATTCGACGAGATAACGGAGGAACTGAAGCTCAACTCAACGTTGCTAGTGAATTTGTAGAGCAGTAACCAAAAAAATACAGAAACGTGTACGAGTCTTACGAATCGACAGCGATTTGTATAAAAAGATTGCTACTTTCAAGTGTCAACATTTAACTATGACATTTGTCAAAATAGGAAGTCTGTGGCGCCACCAAGTGTTGATTTAAGAGTGCCCTCCAAACTCTTAAGTTTTAAAAAAACGTTCTAGCTGTCAACGCCGTGATTTTAGCAGCTGATTTGTTTTCTATAATACTAGAAACGGTTGAACGTTTGATAATAATTTTTTTGCGAAACTGTATGTTAATTTTTATTTTGTATAGTTACTTATTAGCTGCTGCCCGCGACTTCGTACGCGGATGATGTTGCTTATGCCAGCGACAACGGGTTCGTCAAAATCGAAGATCTGAAACGTCTGATGTCGAATTCTAAGAGCTCGGGGACGGGAAAACAACGTGATGCGCGAGACGATTCGAGACGTTCCAGATCTTTCATTTTTGTAAGTCAACACGAAATGCCCATCAGACTAAACAACTTTTGCTAAGACGTTATTCCTGTATATGTTATAATGTCGCTGGGTTTTGGAGTTAGACAACAGGTGTTCCAGATCTTTAAATTTATTCTCACAGCAGAAAAATACACTTCACGTGAAATATTTTTTGCTATGTCACCATTTTTATATCTCTTATACTTTAGCTGGTCTGTTGCGATTCTGCATCAGGGGTTCCATTTTTCAAAATAAATTATAGCCTATATGTTGCCTAGACTTAAGACAAAAAACTTTTCATCCAGTATATTTCACCGATCCGGTGCGGATTACACCGGATCCCAAGGTTACACTGAATCAACAATAATATTGCAAATCACTTTAAAAAAAATTCTTTATAAACTATAGCTGTACCCTTGGCTTTGCCCGCGTTCTCGGTCACGCGCAAATTGTCTCTCACGCCCTGACTGCTCTCAAGTGATCGAGCAGTCTCAGAGCGGATATTCTGAAGACTCAACCTCTGATCCTTCTGTGTAACCGTTTCGGATGCGTGAGACAAAAAATGGCGATCCCGGTCGATAGCTAAACGCATTTCTCGTTGTTCCACACTTTCCTGAGATCGAGAAGCAGTAGTGCGGACTCGTTTAAATTCTAGTCGTAATTGGCGCTGCGTGCTAGTTTCTGCGAACAAACTTAGTGCATTACGCTCACGGTTAGCACCTAGCCGTTGTTCACGCTCTGCGTGGGTTCGAGTGAAACTACTTCTAATTCTAACTAACCTGCGCATCTTATAAACCCTTGAGTTTCGAGACAGATTTGATATTTTCTAAAAGACATAGCTAAAATTCCTTCTTAATCCGATACTAACGATATTTAAAACAATGAAAAGTAATCAAATAAGTACGTAAGAATCACTAGTAAGTAGATAAATAATAATTATTCGCAGGAAAATTAAACACATCGACCAACACAGACAACAAAGGTAACCCCCGTTTCTATAGGATGAGAGCGGCCCATCGGCATCTAACGCGATCTAACTCGACGCCAACGCCATCTAGTTAGAAAACGGAAACTACATATTATTTACCCAAATTAATTAATTAAATTATAAATTAAAACTAAATTGTCGTTAATTTAATAGACAAGTACATTATTTTTGCATTAAAAATATGGTAACAGCAGCAAGGAACGCAACTAAGAATTACATACTTAAATCAATTACCTGCAACAAATGTGCTTGGTAAGATAGAACCAAAAGTTTAACTTGACTTCATGATAGTGTAACTTGTTGTACCATCAATCAATCTGTTTAGTAATATTGGTGTGAAACTCTCCATACAATTAGATAGGACATGTAAAGTTCTCAGATTTCCTAATGCACATAAAAAGTACAAAAATTAAACAAAAATTACGATTTTTCAAAACAATATTATGGGATTTAAACTCGCACCATTTAACGCGGTGAACGGTCGCCTGACCTTACCGCTAAATTCCCCGTTGACATATTGTTAAACAGCTGTTCCCTTGCAATTTATAATATTACTGCCCGTTCCTTTATAAAGTTAGCGTGATTATTAGGTTCCCAGAGTTAAATTTTATTTTTATTTCAACTAATAACATGTCATTTTGTGCATTCAATTACGAAGAAAAACCTTTTAAAATCAATACTGCTTACCTCCTATAACATACGGCGTAATAATATGTAGCCTAAAGCCTTCCTTGGTTTACAAAGAACATTTTTGCTGAATTTCAATTCAATCTATCCAGTAGTTTTGGCGTGAAGCCGTACCATACACACAGACAAACAGACAAGTTTTTCTGTTTGTCTGTGTGTATGGTACAGACAAAAATTCTAAAAAGTCACTTTTTGTCATCAGTTACGCTTTTCTAACAAAAGCCACTTATTTTATCTCGAAAATACTCAATGTACAGTTTTTCTTTCGTTACTGTTTTATTATATGTATAGACTATAGATAGATACCAGTTGAATACTTTCCAGTACTAATTGAATATTTAAGCCTCGCAGATGAACCAACATACCTACCCAATATTGAAACGAGGAGCAAACTCTGCAGTTACGAATAAAAAGTAGATAGACTAACATAGCGTCGATCTTTGTTTTAAATGAGGTATAAAGCTTGCGCCTAAGGCCTAGATATTAATTAATACATTTATTTACTGTATAACATTGTATCATATGATACATAATGGACGTTACGGGCAAGCCTGGTTTTGAATTTTTAGCGATATATTTTGTCACACTGTCTTATCTCTATTATTAATTCCGTGGACTATGGAGTGTAGAGGTAGGGACAGGTACAGACTCTGTATAAAAAAGTGTCCGTAGGAAAGCGTTAAATGAGGGTGGCGCCATTATAACTACAGTCTTAATTTTAAAGAACTTTTTATGATTTTTTTACTGCACAGACTTTCACCTTAATTCATTTTACAATAGTTATTTTATTTCGTTCAAAATTTTTATGTTTAAAATCACTCTCAACGTATTTTACGGTGATTTATCATACCGTGTAGAGCGCTGTTGTGTTTTTGAACTGTTATTTACTGCTTACCGATGGACACATTTCAACTATTCTCCTATGGGAGATTGTCCTCCTTACCTCTATACTCCATGCCGTGGACGTTCACTTCCTTTGTCAGCGCCAAAATGGCCCAAATGTAATCGTCTCATTATGTCATGATTTATAGCTAATCCTTATATACACATATCTTTAGTACACATATCTTTGAAAGAAACGCAGCATAGTTAAATTGAGAATCTACTTCTTGTCTGTTGTGTATCACAAACTAATAAGAAGGTTGTGTACTTTGGAGTAGCTACCTAGTTCTCCTCACAGATTACATAAGTTCTGCTTAAATAAAAGAATGCAGACGTATTTTATTAAAAGAAATGCATTAAGTGTCAGCACAATTAAATAATATATTAAACGACAGTAACCTAATAGTAAGACGCGCAGATGACATACGTTTTATCAGACGTTAGTTAAGTCGGGTTTGGCTGCTAGCCGTAGACAGAGAAACCTTTAGACTAGGATTAGCGTGGCCTAGAGTGAAAAAGGACGATAACGTAGTTTTAGTTTATACAATAATCTTTATGGCTTTTAAACATATTTAGATAAAAATTTTAATTGTTCTAAGAACTGAACTGAACAAGATTCACAACATATCAATCTTAAAAATCACTTTTTTTTCTCACTTAAACTAACTTGTAAACTCATTAGATTGTTACGAACGGTAAAAGTTGTTTAGCAAAGTGTAGTTTGCTAAACAAAAAAAAAACCGACACGGAGAAAGGGACAAACAATCACACCGCTCTGTCTCATTTCTATGTGAGACGTTTGCATAAATCTATCTTTTTCCCGTACGAATGCGAAAGAAGGCGTCAATTTGTCTATAGGTTTCTCAGTCTACGCTGCTGGCGCGCACACTAGGCCAACTAAAAGCAATCTCGTCAGGAGTGAGTACGCAGATAAGTCCTCATTCGAAACAATTTAGTAGTTGGTAAGCTGCTCTCAAATGTAGTGGAGAGAGATATTAACTAAATTTTCTTTTACCTCAACACTAAGATTCTAAAAACGAACATCTGTCTCACAGAATTCACGCTAAAGCTTTTTGTTATTATTAAAATCAGAACACTTTTTTAAAGCTTATTATAAAGAACTTGACTATGATACATTACGCGACTGTTTCACGACAAAGCTCCGATTTACAAAGTGCTTTTTTATACAAGAAATATTCGAGTGAATTAAAACTATCGCTCGAATCGGTCGGCCTATAGTTCGCACTTCGCAAACATTTAGGTTTGAAGGCAATTGTATAGCTCATCAAATTTATTTATCGGCCGATACAGAATCGTTAAATTGTTCGCATTTGCCTTAGACCATTCACCCATGGGTTGAATGGCCGTAGAATACTTTCTGTGTGTTTCGAGTTGGCAACAGTAAAAAGTATGTATAGTAATATGCTTCCCCAAATATTTAGGAATGAGGATATCTGCAGAACTAGAGTAACCGACATAGCCTAACAAATTAGTAAACTGAAATGGTAATGTGCCGGCGACATAGCTCGAAGAACCGGTAACCCATGGGGAAAAAATGTTTTGAAGTGGCAGCGTCGTACCAGCAGGCGAAGTGTTACTTGGTAAGACGTTCAGGAAGTTGATGAATGCAGGTGGCTCAGGACCGTGCTTTGTGGTATTCCCTGGGGTTGGCCTATGTTCAGCAGTGGACTTGTGAAGAGGGCTGTAATGATGACGATGATGATATATTATATACTTTTTTTCTTATTCCTAATTTTATTTCAAAGCACCATTATTGAATTAGTAATGCGTAGACTATATTGTAAAGTATTTGCACACCTCATAAGGTAATAATACAGTGTACATATTCAAATTTTTTTTGTAACAACTCTTATACCTGTATTATGCAAATAAATGAATTTGATTTGATTTGATTTGATTTATATATACATACAGATGCTGCCGATTTATATGGGCTGCATTTAACCACTTACTATGAGGTGGACTCTAAGTGTAAGTTTACTATGAAAGAGTTCACTATTCAAGTTTGTTTGTTATAAATCATATCAATCATAATCATATCATATCATAGTTTCTTTTTTAAATATATTTTTATATTATATAAAATAGTGTTACAAAAAATTAAACATCATTATTTAAACATTGTTATGTTTATCAATATAATGTTTATTATTATTAAATTAAAAATATTTTCACAATAAAATCATATTATCGTTTCTAAATTTACGGTTTTTATTTCGAATAATTTTTGTAAAGCACTAGGGTAGGGATGATTGATGTTGCAGAAACATCGATGATGACAACGATGTTGATATCGATAACTTAACATCGATGTTTGATGATTATCCTACTCAAAACATCGATGCTGGCCTTTATCGATGTTATTGCACATGTACCTAATTATTTAAATTAGATGAACAAAAATATTATAAATTTTAAGATGAACAAAAAATTTATAGTGTAGCTTATGGTTTATTATTAATGAAACTAAAGAAATTTATAAAACATTTAGTGTCAAACAATAATTAAAAAAATGTTCAAAATTTAACAAATATTTAGTTCATTTGTTTTTTTTTGTCTGTAATGTGTAATGATAAATGTTATTATTTGGATTTTATTTTGATCTAAGAAAAAAATTACTATGGGACCTAATTTACGATTTAGATGTAGGTTTTATATTAACCACTCCTATCGCGAATTAAAAAATATAATTATAGAGGGCAATTAGCAAACTTCACAAAATGATAAACTTTTCTGTCACCTTTGTTCACAATTTTTAATCAAACAGCCCAAACAGTAAGTATCCACAGCCATTTATAAAATGCTCTGTAAATTGCACTATGTAGTGAAATTGTCTATGCTCACGATCGCCCAGTGATTTACGATTGTAAAATCGACGATGATAAACATCAAGCAAACAATAAACTCATTATCCCAAGCTCAAAAATACAGCTAAATATAATTGGATTGTGTAGATGCTAGATACATACTGTTTCAAAATTATGTGTGTATAGACAGCAAGGAAAAAAAAACGACGGGTTGCACTCTGGGAGTGCCGGCAGAAGTGAAAACTTGAATATTAACGTTGTGTATTTTTGATATTTTGGAATTAATAATGAATAATTTTGCACGAATTGCTTTAATTATCACACACGAACATTCGCGGAAGCGCCCTGCGCCGCCTAAACGAAACAGCAGGCGCAGGCATACATTTTCGCCACGCCGTAGAAAAAGAGGGGGATACTTCCTTTCCTACGCCGCGCCGGCCGTCTCTCTCTCTCTCCATCCGTCTTACGAATTTTCGATCAGGGTCACGTGTTCTGACGCGAGTTTAACATTTTTTACCCATTATAAAAAGTGTACAAAAAAGCAAAAGAAGTTTTCACTTCAAAACATTATTTGAATATCAATTTATGTAGAATAGTTATTAGGCGACAATCGACAATGACACCATAACAAAGGAAAATTGGTGATAACTGTGACATTATAGTTCTCACTTGATAGGGAGTTTGACACGACATAATGATACTTTTTTAGGTGATTGATGCCTTTAGGAATCCTAAATTATTCAAAATTTTAAACCTTTAAAAGGAGACGAAATATTTAGATGATATTGATTTCGCGGGTTCGCATTGTACACAAGTTCTTATTAATAGATTATTGGTTCATTGATATCGATGTTTCAATGTTTAACATATGGCAACATCGATGTTACGATGCTTAACATTTGGCAACATCGATGTTAAAACATCGATGTTTTAATTTCTAGCATCGATGATCATCGATCATCCCTACACTAGGGTAAGCCATCGACGGCCTAGGGATGGGCAAGTGAAAAAAATATATCGATATATATCGTATCGGCATTTGAAAATAGTATCGATATATATCGACAGAAAAATATCGATATATCGATATATCGACATGTTTTGCATGATCATTCATACATAATATGTATTCCCAAAACATTCAATATACGGAAAAAAAATACACACATGAAGAAAATAGTATATTTTTATTAGAAAGTAATCTAATCAAACCAATATTCATCCGAAATTGACATTAGTAGCACTCTCTGTTTGACGTGCTCTCCTGTCAAGCGGCTTCTGTTGTCGGGTACAGTTATATTCACAGCTGATGCAACTCTTTCAGAAGAGACCGAAGAAGCCTGGCAAATTAAGTATTTAAGGGCGACTTCTGAAAGAACTGGCGTAAAATGTTGGCAATTTGTCCAAAATTTTATTGGATCAGCCTTTCTCTCAAGGAGAGGTTGATCAAGGTATTGCTTGGGCACAGAGCCAGAGCTCGGGACCTCGGGCACGGTTGTTGACTGGGATAATAATTTTTCATGCCCAGACCAAATTTAACTCTCAGTTTTTTCTTGTGCTTTTCCTATTTGGATCGTTCTAAGATCAGGGGAAAGTTGACCCCTGCGTCGGTGTTCGCTCCGAATATCATTACTATTTTTGGCTATGGCATGTGAAACCGCAATTGGTGAATTGAAATGAATTTTTTTAAAACGCGGATCTAATATTGTTGCTGCGGACAAATATGAATTTTCTTGTAAAGGTACCAGTCTTTCTTGAACTTTTTTAAGAAGAGCTTCTTTAACAATTAGCCCCAAACTTGTAGATGGACTTAAAGTTTCCACTGCTTGGCGAATCAAATTTGTAACCGGAATGGCTAAACTGGAAGTCACGTAATTAGCCCCACTTATTTCTTTCGTGGCTTCTTTGAATGGGCCTAAAATAGCCACAATATCTCTTATAATATTTAATTGACAAGTTGCGACCATGTCGGGTGTATTTCGGCTTGTCTGACTTTTAGTAGCTAAAATTTTGCTACTAGTGCAGAAAAGAGTGGTAAATCTTTTTAACATGTCAAAGCACGAGTTCCATCTTGTGGTGACGGCTTGTGTTAATGTCAACACCTCCCCTTCTTGCATTCCAGATACTTCTTGTTCAGAGCGTAATTGATCCATCGCATTTACGGATTGTTTAAAATACGTCACGATGCTCTTTACGTGATCGCAAAGAGCTGAAAATGCGTGATTTTCTTTCAACACCCCATCAACAATAAGATTTAGGCAATGTGCCATACACGAAATTCTGCGATCGTTCCCTAAAAACAATCGCACTGCCGCCACTATATTTGCACCCCCATCAGTTGTAATGGCAACAATTTTATTTTTGTCTATATGAAATTCTTCACAAATTTCTTCCCAGCATTCTTTTATGTACTGTCCTGAATGAGCCTAAAAAAAGAAAATATTGTATATATTTTTACAATGTGAGAATCAATTAAGATGTAGTTATTAAATTATATCAATTAAAATAATTAAAAGGTCTGGATAATTGATATATTACAAAGTACTACAAAAACACACCTGAGTCAGTTTCTGCGCACATAGGCTTACATTTTGAAGGATAGGCGATCCCTTAACGTTGTCAATAAAATGAACTGTTAATACTAAGAAGCTCCTTGTAGAATTAGTGAGAGTAAGTATATCACTTGTAAAACATAAAAAATTTTGCTGAACTGCTTTTGTGGTATTATATCGATTTTCTATCATATGAGTTACCTGGAAATTACAAAAAGTACCAGTTATACTACTGTGATATAAATTTTTTAATTATAAATAAGAATGATAATTTTTAATATAAATACCTTTTTTCTGGAAGGCAGTTTATAAAGAGGGCATGCTGTGCGCATAAGTTTTTGCAAGCCTTTTTTTTTTCAACACATGATAATGGCAAATTGTCCTTACATATCATGTAAATCAGTGCCTGTGTTATTTCACTATGTTTTTGTCCACCTTCTGAAAAATAAAAATGATCATAAGTACTAATGCAAAATTACTCAAAAAATCATACGTAATAAATGAAACAAACTGTGAATGTCAAATGTAAATCAATAATATTTTATCGATATCGAATGGTGGCCATCACTAAAATGTAATAGATTGTACTTTGAATGAAATCATTACTTGATTTATCATCAATCTATGGCTATGGGTAGTACTCAACTAAAATTTCAACCAAGAATACTCTCACAACAACAAAAAAATATGCGTGCAGTTCGCTCGCAGTAGAAGTACAAACTTCAAATGAAATGAAATATAAAATAAAAATATTTTTAAAAAAAATAATTTATTTAATGATAATTTTCAACCACTTATGTGGCATAAAATGTAAGATAAAAGTTTAATTTTGCAACACATATAATATAATAATAATAAACCAGAAATAATATTAGAAAGTAAGAATTAGAAAATCTATTAGGACATAACAATAATAACAGATAAAACTATTAATTACAACAGACCTGCCTTTCACAACAAAACCAATAAAACAGTTTACCTGATAGATATAGCAATACACCCACATAACATTCAAATTATTATATCTGAAAAACTAAGTAAAAGAACTTGCCATAGAAATTAAAACTCAATGGAAAGCACAAAATGCTTACAGCGTACGGATAGTCCTCTCATCCACCCATATTATACCAAAGTCACTCGCACAAAGCCCTAACACTCTACACATGCCTACTCACACTTCACATGCTGCAAAAAGCCATCATTCTCAACCCCTGTTGCATCACCAGAAGGGTTTCTGACATCTTCTACTTTATTATCCACTTTTACTATTTAAATTTCCCCTCACACACTTGGCTCTGTGTCGTGTGTGTGGTTTCAAAATCTCAAAAAAGAGAAGAAATATAAAGAATTCTTATATTAATAATAACAATCCTCATTTTTAAACATGGAAAGCCTTACTTTTTGTGTAATAAATCAAAAGAATTTAGTTTAGTGTAAAATTGCTTAGCAATAGCACCATCTACTCCATTAATAAATAATAATAATAAATTTTTATTGCTGCATAACAATGAGTTTACATAAAATATATATTAACATATTGTCTAAATATTACATCTTAAATTATATTAGAACCTCTGACTTCTAAACTAGGCAGGGCCTGTATCATAGAAATCAGCGCTCTTCACAAAATCAGTGTCGGCAGGACAAGTATGAGTTAGCAAAAAGTAAAAAGAAAGTAATAAATGAAAAAAATAATAAACTTGTTAACATAAAAACGAAACAATATAAAAGGAGAAAATAAAAAACGAAATGTGTGTGTGTGTGTGTGTGTGTGTGTGTGTGTGTGCGTGCGTGCGTGCGTGCGTGCGTGCGTGCGTGCGTGCGTGCGTGCGTGCGTGCGTGCGTGCGTGGCGTGCGTGGCGTGCGTGGCGTGCGTGGCGTGCGAGGCGTGCGAGGCGTGCGTGGCGTGCGTGGCGTGCGTGCGTGCGTGCGAGTGCGTTCGTGCGTGCGTGTGTGGCGTGCGTTCGTGGCGTGCGTGCGTGGCGTGCGTGCGTGGCGTGCGTGTGTGTGCGTGTGCGTGCGTGTGCGGGTGTGCGCGTGCGCGTGTGCGCGTGTGTGTGTGTGTGTGTGTGTGTGTGTATCATTTATTACTATTTGACGGTAATAGAACATTGAAACGGATCGGATATTTATTGATTATTATTAATTGCGAATAATCACTGACTAATTATTTAAAGTTAATTGTTTGATACACACAAAAACTGAAGTAACAGAACAAAAATATACATTTAAAAGTCACTTTCAACCACTTTTTGTTTATTATTTGTTAAGAGCAAACTCAAAGAGGTGTGCGTACTTATAACATTTATTGCTATTGACGGTAAGAGAACATTGAACGGATCGGATTTTTATTGATTATTATTAATTGCGAATATCACTGACTAATTTTTTAAAGTTAATGTTTGATACACACAAAAACTGAAGTAGCAGAACAAAAACATACTTTCAAAAGTCACTCTCAACCACTTTTTGTTTATTATTTGTGAAGAGCAAACTCAACGAGGTGTGCGTACTTATAAGGCCCGACGACAACTATACTATTTAAAATTCGTATTAAAAAGTAGTGATGCACCGAAATTCGTTTCACATTCAGTAAAACCCCTCAATTTTCTCAAAGTTTTACCGAAATTCAGAATTATAATTTAATGTTGACTGGTGCGGCCACAGGCTGTCCCTTCCATTCTTTAGGTAAAGTTATTTTATCGAACAAAATTGATTGAATTTTAAGGTGGTATTAAATAGCCGCTAGTGACCTGACATGAAACATGACTAATTTAATATAAATTGATAATTTATGAAATTGTAGATTGTTATGAATGAATTTGGATATGCTAATTTTATTCAACATGGTTAATTTCATTTATTTAATAAATTTATTATAACTATAAGAAATTACTTGCTATTAACACATTTTCATTTAAAAAGTAAAACAAAAAAAAAACACCTTACTTTGCAGTAACATACCTTCGAAGCTTGAGCCTCTCTCTAAACAAGCTACTAAGGTGCTTTGTTTTCTTTTTTTAGCTTCATGATAAACCATCTCAGCAGGATTGACTGTGACATCTTCTTGACTTTGCTGGGAATTTTTATAACCAGTACTAGTGGATGGCAAACTAAGCTGAAAATATAGAAAAAGTAAAAAAGAAAGTTAATACAAAAAAGTTAATTCGACTCAGTCTATTATTATTATAGAGAGACAACTTGTTTAGTTTATTTTAGTCTTTGATTTATTATTGCTGTTATATTAAATACTCAAAGATTTTAGGTTATATACTTTAGGATATATTAATATTTGATAATCTTACATTAACAGTAGATACATTACATTGGAGTTATTCAAGTCTACTGCCGCAGCGTCTTCAGTTTCTTCACTAGATTTAGTTGTTTTCAATGAACTAGGCATTTTCATCATTTGCAAATAAGCAAAATGATGCCTATTTTTTAAATGAGTGGCCAAATTGGTTGTATTACCGCACGTTTTATACGACTTGCCGCACAAATTGCAAGAAGCTGAATCATTGTTGTTGTCTTCTTTTTTGAAGAACTTCCACACAGAAGACATGATTGATAAGATTCGAAGTTCGAAGCTTCGAATTCGAAGTATTTTTAGTTTTAGCTTTATTTTTAACTTTAAACTTTTAAGTTTTCCGTAGAAAAATACCGTTACTGTCTTGCTGTGTACATCATAAACACAAAACACAAATTTGAATTCGTAAGTTACGAGACACAAGTTACGACTTACGAATCGTAACAGTGAGACCATAAACAAAACCAAAAGCAAAAGACAAAAGAATGCTTCTGTTTGGTCTATGGTCTTACTGCAATATTCGATTTGATGAAGATTGTAACGAGATTTTTTTTAAATAAACGAAACAAGAATTGCGTAAAAATATATCGAAATTGATACGAATTCGATACTCTAAAATAAATATCGGAATGACGATATATCGCGATTAAAAATATCGACGATATATATCGATTATTTTATGAAAAAATATCGATATTTCGATATATAGATATTTTTTACCCAAGCCTACGACGGCCATTTTGAGTTATGGTTTTCCGCCATTGTGATATAAAGTGTGCTTGTACGCCAAAAATAAACTAAACTGTTTCGGCATGAGGACATAGGTGTATTGTGAACATTAAGTGTTATATAAACAATGGACGAAGAATACATGGATTCCCAGGACTCTGGTATGAATGAAGTAAGCAATATCAATGAGGGAAATGGCAATCTTAGTGAACCTCCGAAAGATATCGGAGAAGGTTTGGGTTATGAAGAGAATTACGAAGATGAAGACGGCGGCAATAGTTTCAGAGGTCGAGGCCGTGGAAACTTTAGGTGAGGCACTTGTATCCCTAATATCTTACCATCCCTCACTGACCTTGTACATTACTGACTGGTATCTTGTGTCGGCGTTCACGTTTATTTTATTTATTCAGGAACCTGTTAATTATAGCATAAGTAGGAAATAAATGTATTTATTGGTAATGCATATCTTCGTTCATATTTATCGTTGAAGGAAAAAAAGTTATTTGTTAACAGTTTATTGATTAAACATTTTTTTGTTTCTCCCTTAATGTATCACTAGTCTCTTACTTAATCTTGGTAAGTCTGACTGAACATGTAAAATAAGATCTATTAAATGACTAAAGGTCAAGGCTGTATTCCATCAGTAGTGCAGAAAATGTTTTTATGCTACATGAACTTGTATGTAGTAGGTTTTTAATGATCCATTGCTATCAAACTGTGCTTGAACAACCAAGCTCAGTCACAGAGATAATAGAGAGATATAATCATGGCGAATGTATAAGTATTACAATATAGTATTGATTACTAAAATGATTAATTTAATTTGTTTCCGTCCTCCATTGGTGCACTACTCCCGAGGCGTGAAGCAGAATTGCAGTGGTCTTGTTCTTCAAGATAAACTACATTGCTCTGTAGAAGAACTAAAAGATCATGTTTAAAGTCCATATCATACCTATGTAGTAGTTGGGAGGAATATGCTTGAAGTTGTTGATGAGTATGATTACCTGGAACAAATGGTCCAACTGGGGAAGCCCAACTTTTACTGCGAGGTCAAATGATGAATTAAGCTCGGCTTGACAGTGTTCAGGAGATTATGATACATCCTCACATTACACATACCTCAAAAGCTGATAACATGGTTATACAACCAGTGTGTATCATCATCATTACAGCCCTTCACAAGTCCACTGCTGAACATAGGTCCTCCCAAGTAATGCCACAAAGCACGGTGCTGAGCCATCTGCATCCATCGACTTCCTGCATGTCTTACCAGGTCGTCACTCCATCTAGTCAGGGGTCGCCCTACACTACGCCTACCGGTACGAGGATACCACTTGAGAACCTTTCTTCCCCTTCGGTCATCGGTCTTCGAGCTATATGGCTGGCCCATTGCCACTTCAGCTTACTAATCAGTGATGACTTATGCTATGTGCCGGCCTTGAACCGAAAACCAATGGGGACGAAAGATTTTCGAGTAGCAGCGTTGTGTTGGTAGGCGAAGTGGAGAATGGCCCTTCCACTAGATGAAGTAACAACCTGGTAAGACATACAGGTAGTTGATTGATGCAGCTGGCTCGGGATTGCGCTTCCTTGGCATTCCTAAGGGGCGGACTATATTTAGCAGTAGATTTATGAAGGGTTGTAATTACTTAGGGAGTGTCTTGTAGCGCCTATTGTCATACATGGTACTATTTGTGTGTGTAATCTTCCTACAACTAAATAACAGAATTATTATTTAAATAATAATATAAATAAAAAGATGTGAAATAAGCATTATTTTATTTTGCGATTGACACTAATAGACAGGCAATTCATTATTGAACATTTTGATGAATTTAATTTAAGAAATTTTTAAAGGACTGTAATTCGATTTTATAAAATATTTTAAGATTTGGGCTTATTTCTTATGCAATATACTGTAGCGAGAGCGCATGGAATGTATGAGAATAAATACTCAAGGTCGTTGCTAGGAGTAGCGGTCAATAATTTAATGGTAGTATTCCTCTTCTGCCTCGCAGACCATCTTCTTAGGTACCACCCTGAAGCTATTTGTATCGCCAAAACACAGTGCGTGATATAGAAAGCCAGTATAATTACGGACTATTAGGTATTTCATCTTAGTTGTTAGAGGTGACAATGCATCTGTAGATTTCTTTATATGAATTTGGTTGCAAATCCAAGGGCTGAAGTTAGTCCTTTACCATCAGGTGGACTGTAAGTTTTTCAATTGTATGTATTTTATAAAAAGGTATAGAGGAGACTAAAGTCTGCCACAATTGGTCATTGGTGTAGTGTTTGTAAGTGTACTTCCAAATCATGTGATCTCGGCCAGACCAAAAATCAGTTATTGGGTAAGTAGCAGCCCAGAGTCAGGAAGTTGCCCTGTCTCGAAGAGGACGTAAAGATGTTGTTTTTTTATAGTAAAAGGGTGATAAACGAGCACATAGTCCACCTGTTGGTAAGTGGTTTCCGTGGCCCATAGACATCTACATCTATGCTTGATTATGAGTCAAAATGCAGATGCATTGTCACCAGTGAGGACTACGATAGAATGCCTCGTTTCCAGTAAAAAGGGTCTCTGGTTCTCTACACTCATCATATGAAACACAGCAGCGTTTAGCTACTATTTTACACTGGTATTCTGTGAGAGTGTGATCCTTACCTGGACGAGCCGACCCATTCGTACTACAACTATACCAGTAATATAGCTGCAGCATAGCTCTACCACATCCTGCATCAGATTTGTCCAGTCAGTAGCAAACTTTAAATGCTTGCATAAGTAGTTAGTTTAGTTTAGTTTGCAACGGGCTGTTTTCCGCAACTCCACGTCTCTGCGCGTATTTTGCGTGTGGGCAGGAATAATGTGATTATTCGAGCCATGAGATCTCCCCGAAGAAGCTCAACAGTCCCTTGATGTTGCATGCAACTTCGGGGAGTGATCCCGGCGTGCCGAGATGTTTAGCCCTGTACGTAGCGACCTCCGGACATTTCAGTAGCACGTGGGCCGCTGTTTCTTCCTCCCCCATACATGCCCTGCACAGGGGACTATCTGTAACACCTATAGTAAATAAATGTTTGTTAAAGGTGCCATGTCCTGTGATAGCACTAGTTACTATCCTGATCTGCGGCTTGTTCAGTCTCATTAGAACTTTGGTTAAGCGACTGTTTATTACAGGTAGGGCCTCCCTAGCTTGTCTACAGTCTATTAGATTTTTCCAAAGCTGAGCGTGTTGATTAGTGAAGTGTCTACGTACCATTGAACGAACGTTACCAAAGGGGATTGGTATGATTGGTTCCGGCCCTATAGTGGCCAGAGCCGATCCTCTTCTGGCCAGTTCGTCCGCTGCATCGTTGCCTCTGGATCCACTGTGTCCCTTTATCCATTGTAGAGTCACATTGTTGTTTTTACATACCTCATTTAATCGTTGATGGCATTCATATATTAGTCCCGAGTTCACCCCATTGCAACTCAGAGCTTGTAGTACCGCCCTACTGTCGGTCAGTATTCTGATGGGGAAGTCATTAACCTTCCTAGCATCTATTGCTATGGCCGCTTGAATGATACCCATACATTCCGCCTGAAAGACCGTGTTATAGGTACCCAGCGGTGTGCATATTGCTTGCATAAGTATTCTTTTATGATAATAGTCAAATGGCAGATTTGAACTCATAACTTTTAAGTTTACAATTTGTACCTTTAACCCTCTCGGCTCTTCTCAAGTCTTCCGAGTTCTGTTACTTAAAACTTTAAATACTATACTGTTAATGTTACAATCTTTTAAAGTCCACTGTGGACATAGGCCTTCCCTATAGAATGCCTCGTAGAGATAATATTTGACATAGTTGTCAGGCTTGGCTAGCGGTTTGGCAACCATAGTATTTTTTAATATGTTATTAGGAAGACACTGTTACCCCATCTCTGATTTGTTTCCCTATACTGCTTCTTACAACACCCAAGGTTAACTTTAATTAGTCCTCTTTAATTTTATTTCTCAGGCATTAAATTTTTATAACTATGTTTTTTTTACCAATGATTATATGATGTATCAACATTTAAATTACAAATATCATGTTCATGTACCACTATAAGCTTGCTACACTAATTCTTTTAGTCTTGAGTTTAAATAAGTCTTTGTCTTGAAAGAAGTCCCTTAGCCACTCCTTTAATGATTTCATATTTTGTATTTTAGATTGCATATTTTCCACAGGACTTCTTTAATAAAACTGACTCTAGTTTTAACCTGAGACTAATTATTAACTACTTTTTGTACTAAGAGGGTAAGATTTAATATTTTACAAGTTTAATTTTTCATTCATTACATTGTATCAAAGGTTGGATCAGTATCTGGAGGCCCTTTATTTACTGGAAAGAAGCATTCCATCTTAGTCCTCAGGGGTGACAACGTATTTGCATTCTGATTCTTAACCATAGATTCATAAACACATTTTTACACCCTCACTACACACACACTCCCACTTTACACCCTCAAGTAATAAAACTCTAACAGCGCGTGGCGCGAAAAAGGTGGAAATACAAACGTCTCAGTACCTTCCTAAAACGACGAGAGCTCACTTCGGCGCCAGTAGTTTTGGCGCGTACATGATTAGTTTTGGATATACTAAGCCCGAGGTGTTTGAGATACGTATGTTTATGATTAGTGTAACAAATGAGAACAAATGAGACAGATAGTGAGGAACCTACAGATCCTTCAAGCGATTCTGATGACGAATCTCTTCCAGCATCAAATATTAGTCGCCGACGTCGAATAAATTCTAATGACTCATCGGATAATGCCCGACCTACGAAACAGATGAGAGATGTACCTTACAAACACAAATGTAGAACCCTTAGCATCTTTCTTTGTGAAGCAACTTTCCGAAACTATTCAAGGCAGTAATCGTAATGAGACCATGAATAATTGGTTCACGTCAGTGTCTTTAGCAAAAGAACTATTGCAGAATCCATACAAATTAACAATTGTAGGTTCAATTAGATCTAACAAGCGCGAGATCCCTTCGCAACTTTTGCAGTTTATCAAAGAAGTGTCAGATAAAATGATAGAACCCTGGTTACGGCAACGCCGCGAAACACCAACTTTGAGGCGATGGCTAAAACAGAACATCGATTTCATTTTAGGCGATACTTTGCCTGATGTCCCAGCTATCCGCGAAAATCAAACCAGGAGGAAATTATGTAACTTCTGCTGTTGTAAAAAAAAACTTGTGACCAGATTTATCTGCACCAGTAGTAAACGTAATATGTGTTTGGAACATTGCGGTAATTTGTACCTAGAATGCTAGGATGATTT